CCTTTCTCTTTCTTTCTTTCTTTCTTTCTTTCTTTCTTTCTTTCTTTCTTTCTTTCTTTCTTTCTTTCTTTCTTTCTTTCTTTCTTTCTTTCTTTGTGGTACCCAGGATAGAACTCAAGAGCTTGTGCTTGGGAAGCAAGTGCCTATTCTACTGAGCTATCTCTATGGCCTCATTCACCTTGGTTTTTTATAGAGAACCTTCTTTGATGTCTCTAATATTTTCCTCTTCTGTAGAGAATTCTAAATCTCTGTTCTCTTTTGGAACTTCAGCAGCCTGTTTTTTAATATCTTTGTGAGCTGTTTTCTTAACTTTGACTTGTGAGCCAGGCTTTCAGCATATGTGGAGCTGCTTCTCTTTTTCTTACGAGTCTCTCATCAGATAACCTGGACACCTCAGTTCTGTGTCACTTTTCCTTCTCGTTAGTTACAGCCCTGTACCCATTCTTTAATATATCTGTACATACAAAACCTCTCTAATAGCACATTCTACAAAATAGAAATAAACAGAGCAATTTTTATTTTTTTTCAACACATAAAGTTTTTACTGAAAAACTGTGATGTAAAATGGACTCATCTCTAAAAAAGTCTTAATTAAAAGCTGAGGAGCTAAAGTATTTTCCTTTTGTTAAGTGTAGATCTTATAAAGCATTCTTTCTGGTGCTGCTGTAATCAGAGACCCCCTTCATGGGTCTCTCATCAGATACACCAGCACCTCGCTTCTGTGTCACTTTCTCCTTTTCTTGGTTTATTCTTGAGGTTGTGCATTTTCTGTTTCAGAGCATTAGGAGGTGGTCCCAGCTCTTTTCACTTTACAGATACTCTCACTTCTTGTGTCCATACTCACCTCCTTTCCCTGCACATTGTCTTCTGTCTTCATTTGTCTTCTTTCTTTTTTCTTTTTCTTTTCCCCTCTCAACTACTCTTAAGCCTGGGATTGGCTTGTTTTTCATGGTTTTAGGACATATGTCAGGTTTTCTTCATGCCTCTTCTGGTGCTTTGTTAAGAAATTCATTAGCTTTTGCAGCTTGATCTTTTGTTTCAAATTCCACACAGGCAAATCCCTTCAGGTCTCCCATAGACTTATAATGTGCTATACTTATATAAACAACATTGTCTCATTTCCCAAATACTCTTTCAATCCAGCTGTGATTATCATGTTTAGGAAGTAATTCAACATACTCAGTGCACTCATCCTCATCCTTTGGTGTTCCACTCAGAGGCTTTTTTTTTCTGACTTTGGTGCCTTCTAAGTCCACCTCAACATCAGCTAAGCTTTTCTGTGCTGTGGCTATTATCTTGCCATCAGTAGTCCACTTTTTAATTTTGTTAAAATAAACCAAAAGGGAGATATCAACATATCCATCTCTGGATTTTTCTATCTGCTCTTGAAGAAATCTGTCCTTGTGAAGATTTGCATCCTGAAGTCCACTGGCTTGGCGATGTCTACAAGAAGTCCACTGGCTTGGTGATGTCAACAAGAAGATGCCTAACTCTGGAACGTTTCTTCTTTTCTACTTCCTTCTTTCCAGGGCTCTCTTCCATGGTGTGATGTCCTCCTTCAGCTTCCATTCTCCCCTCACTTCCCAAAATGTGGTGTGAGAGGCTTGTGTCCTTCAGTCCTTTCCTGATCCTAGAATTATGGCTATTTCACATCATATGCTGAGTGACACCACTCACTTGTTTGCCTTCTGGAAGAGGCACTACAGCCAATTTTCATTTTCTAATTAATTAAATAATTAACTTGGTACAGTGGCTCATACAGGAGTTCAGATTCATAGTGCTCCTCCTGTCTTAGCTTCTTTAGCGCTGGAATTACAGGCATGTTTGACCATATCTGGTTTCCGTGGCCTGCATGTCAGGCCAAGGTTTCCCAGGCCAGCAAGGAATACGGTACCAAGGATAAAATCCGGGTCCTTACACTTGTCAAACAGGTGCTTAAACCTTCAAGCTATCTCCTCAGCTCAGGAAGCCAATTATTAAAGATCTTTGCAATATGAAATTTTATTCCACATGCTTCTCCGCTGAGGTGCTCTAACAGATTGCCTGTGTTACTTGGGTGAGAGAGACCTGCATAGTCTTAGAATGGAGAGGGATGTAAAAGACTTGATTTCCTAATCTGAAGCAGTCATTTATGCATGCGAGAATTCATTATCATTTGGATTCAATGTACATATTCAACGTTAGAGGATAATCCTGATTAGTCATGAAAAGGAAACTAACTTCACAAAATTTATGTTATTTTGAGATGAGTACAGGTCATGTTTACCCATTAAGTGAAATTCCTATAAAATTAAATGTGACAGATGATGTTTATTCGAATTTGGGTACTTCATGGCAGTTCATGCATTGCAGGTCCTGTGGTGATAATACAGAAGGGAAACCCCGGAGGCCAACAGGAAGCCGTCACTCCACTGCTTCCTGTTCTGCAGCTGCTCCCAGGGGCCACCCTGGTTCTCCCTGTATCACAGCTACCCCTGATGGGGATAAGTGCCCCAACAAATAGATTTTTGTCTGAGCTCACACTGCTGTTCCCTCACTGTGTAAGCTGCACAGTAATACACAGCCGTGTCCTCGGGTCTCAGGCTGCTCATTTGCAGATAGGACGTGCTCTTGGCGTTGTCTCTGGAGATGGTGAATCGGCCTCTCACTGAGTCTGCATAGTTCGTTTTACTACTATCGTAATAGATCATTGCAATCCACTCCAGCCCCTTTCCTGAAGCCTGGCGGATCCAGTGCATGCCAGCACTTCCAAAGTTGAATCCCGAGCCCACGCAGGAGAGTCTCAGGGAACCCCCAGGCTGCACCAAGCCTCCCCCAGACTCCACCAGCTGCGCCTCAGCCTGAACACCTGCGAACAGAGAGACATCCTGTTTAAGAAATCATCACAGAGGTCCACTGTTTATCCCTCTCATGTCCACTTACATGCATGTTCAGGATCTTTTGTACTGAATAATTTACCTTTCAAAATGGCAAACAGGAAAACTGAGCTCAGCAGAAGCTTCATGGTGAGCTGTCTGTATTCAGTCTGGTCAGAGTCTGGTGACTACTGAGCTCCAAGGCTGAGCTCTAAACCAGAGCTGCAGGGTCAGAGCTGGGCTGGTTTTCATCATTAGAGGGAGGCCTTATTTGCATGCCCTCCTGCTATGTATTCTGTTCTGCCGATGTAAATATTCTTGTCCCTTTCCTTCTTTTCTCCTTTGACCTGTCTGAGTTCTTTCCTTTTCATCAGCCTCTTCCCTTTGCACAACATCTATTGTAAATTTTGCACCTCATTTATTCTTTCGTGTTTTTTTATACTGGAGAGATAATTTAACATAAATAATTGTTAAATTTGTCAATCTGATTTATTTTTACTTTTGAATATACTCTCAAGTTGCATCCATCCACCCATAAATTTCTCCAGTTTATTATTTTTTATAGTGAGTAGTACTTCATTGTAGAAATATACCTCATCTTTTTTATGCATTCTTCAGTTGAAGGGCATTTGCATTGTTTCCAATATATAGCTATTAAAAATTGTGCTTCTATACCATGATGCACACACATTTTTATGATATGATATTTTTTATTCTTCTGGGAAAATATCCAGAAGGGGAATAAGTGGGCTCAGTAGGACCCACAATCCTAGTGTTTTGTGAAATCTCCACAATGATTCCCACAGTTATTGTACCAAACTCCATTCACACCAATAATGGAGAATGGTCCCTTTAATCACTCAGCTCCATGAGCAATTGATATTACTTGATTTGTTGATGTTAACCATCTTTTGTGGGGTGAGTGTTGCTTATTAGTGTTATTTTAATTTGCATTTCTTGAATGAACAATTATGTTGAATATTTTAAAATATATTTTGCATTTCTTCATCTGAGAAGTGTGTATTCATCTCTGATGTCCATTTTTGGACTGTCTTTTTCACTGAGATACTGAATTTTTTCAGTTCTTTGTACTTTAAAGATAGAATCATTTTGTCTGAAGAACAGTTGGCTGAAGTTTTTCCTACTCTATGCACTTCCCTTTCACTTTGTTAGTGGTTTCTTTTAATGTGAAAAGATTTTGTAATCAGAAGAGATCCCCGTTGCTCATTCTTCCAAGCACTTTTCATGCAGTTTGAGTCTTCCTCATGAACTTTGTGTGTACACCATTGTCTTTAATTTTTGTACCTACTTTTTCTTTCAGTAGACTTAGTGTTTGTGCTTTAATATTTCGATATTTGGTTCATTCTGACTTTAGTGTATGCTGATGCACCTGGATCTAGTTTTAGTCTTCCACATGTGAAAAGCCAGTTTTTCCAGCACCATTCATTGAAAAGGCTTTCTTCCACCACATGTGATTGGCTCCTTTGTAAAAGATAATTTGGCTGAGTGTGTTTTTTGTTGTGTCTGCATCTTCTAATGTGTTCCACTGACCCACAAGTCTGTTTTTTATGTCAGTACCATGTTGGTATATTGTGTTGGCTTAGTAGTTCAATTTCAAGGATTGTGATGCCTCCTGCTTTGCTTTTGTTAGCCATGATTGCCTTTGCTATTGTAGGTCTCTGCTGTTTCCAAGTGAATTTTAAGATTGCTTTCTACCTGTCTAAGTTACTCTTCTCTCATTACTGTGAAAAATATCTAACACCCAAAATGAAGGATGGAAAGGTTTATTCAGCTCAAAGTTACTGGAAATTTCAGTACATACTCAGCTGGCTCCAAGGCAGTGTGGCACAGGGCAGAGCACAAAAGTTCCTGCTGATGGCAAAGAGCAAGAGGAGTGAAGAGAGGACTAGCAGAAACAATGGCGGCAGGGAGGAAGACTATGTATCTGTCCTTCTTTTGTTACATTCAGGCTCTCTGCCCCAGGCTGGGGGAAGTATACTCACCCATAATTCCAGCACTACTAAGACCCATAATCCCAGCCTTGGATTACCCATAATCCTAGCCGATCCTGACTTAATCACAAATTCTAGAAGTCCCCACCCCATGACCTCATGAGGTTTTGGGGGGACAACTAGATGCCAACCATAAAATTCCTTCCTGGACCCGCAATGTCTTATGCATATCTTGTCATGCAAAAGATATTTTAGTCCATCTCTGAGAGTTGCCAAAGACCCAACACTTTCAGCATTGTTGAAAAGTCCTAGTCCCAAGTCTCCTCCAAGGTCCAAGGCAAACTCTTAGCTATGAGCCTGTGTACAAAAGTAAAGTTACCCCCTCCTGGGAATTTTCTCAGAGGAACTGAAAACATCATATCATAGTGATATATGTGCACCTATGTTTATAGCAGCATAATTTGTGATAAGCAAATCTTGGAAACAACCAAATGTCTGTTCCCTGAGGAATGGATCAAAAAGTTGTGGAATTTCTATACAGTGTGGGATAACTCAGCTATAAAGAGCAATAAACATAGTGTTTATATTTAAGTGGATGCCACCTGAGGATATACTCATAAGTGAAATAAACCAGACCCACATGTGTAAATATTCTATAGTCTACCTAGTGTAAGAACTCAAAAGAAGAAATAAAAGTAGAAAGGTCCAACACAATTAAAAGGAAAGCAACAAATTAAGGAGTAAACAATGAAGAGAGGGCAAGGAGAAAGCTAGGAAACCTGACAGGGGCAAAACCATACATTTACATGCACAAGATGGTTAAGGCAATGATCCTGAGATTCTTCAGCAGGTTTTTGAAATTGGCAGTTAATTTGATTAGCAGTTAATAGGATTCTCACCCTGACAGTCTATATATGCTGATACCTGTGAACTAAGCAACTGCACTGAAGGTAGCAATGGGTAATACTAGGGCCATACTTGGAATGCCTATCATTCTGGTCTTCTAAATACATTCTGCTTCTAATGTCATATCATGCACTATAGGCTATACTGTCTCTCAAATAATTTTTTTTTTGTGGAACTGGGGATTAAAGTTAGGCCCTTCAGCAAGCACTTGTTTTACTAAGCCATCTCCCCGGACCCATACTTTTTTTTTTTTTTTTTTTTTAAAGCGTAACAAATGAAAACAAGAGAAAAGAAAAAAATATCATAGGATTGTCCTGGTACAATGCTATGTATGGTTAGATTTCTAAATTTCTGTGTAAAAATATGTAAACTTTTTGTTTCTATTTTTAAGTTTTTAGTTTTTCTCTTTACATTTTTTAGGGATTTAAAGTTTAATATATCAATACTTGATGGAAAATACCTGTTCCATATTATGTCTAAGATATTTGATATTTAGACAGATAGTAAGGTTAAACTCAACTGCCTATATTATAGGGTAATAATATCATTAAGCTTCTCTTCTGGAGGGTTAACAACTTAAATTTGCAGACCAAAAATTATTGAAAGGAAGGGATGCAAGGATAGTTAATATTTTGGCCCTAGTGTTTCAAGGTCAGTGAGGACTCAGGACATAAGGGAATCTGTCCGTAACTCAGTGGTATCCCAAATTTTCTAATCAAGGAGATTATAGGACCACAGTGGAAAGTGATTGGCGATGTAGAGTGTGCCTAAGGAGAGTCACATGGAGAGAAAACATTCTCTCACTCTTTCTCAGAGAGCAAATTGGCCAAGCAATGGCTGTGACTCATCCACATGGCTGACACTGAAAAAGCATCTACAAGTGGCATTGCAGGATTTCAGGGTAAATCTGCAGGGAATTTGACTGACCTTGTCACCTACAGAAGTTACATTTTTTGCTATATAAGTCTTGCTTTACCTTGGTCTTAACCATCCAGTAGAAAATTATAAAAATGAAAAATAAAATGTAAAGCCATATTAATATGCTGAGCTATAAAAAGATCAAGTCAACAACTTCTTACATTACCAGTCCTACAGATAACCCACTACTATTTGGACTGCTGGACTATATTGGAATATTTTGCTGAATTCACACACCTGCAATATTTAATTGTCAATGGAATACCCACATCTTACAAAACTAAACAAAAAAGAGGATAGAAATGGAAGGTCATTTTGCATCTGTATATACAGAATAGTTAGGATAGATATACAGCTACTTTCTCTTCAATGAGAAGAAAGATTTGTACTAATGGTGTTTGGACAGGACATCATGTTTGCGTCTTCTACTATGAATAACTACTATGAAGACAACAATGTATAATGTATTAATTATTGTAACTGTCCTTTTAACCTCTTTTGAAACTGTCTCATTGCTATTTGTTTCTCAATAAAATTAATAAAAATGAAGAAAACTACCTACAATTCTGAATAATGTTAGGAGAATACATATGCATGCATAAGTATTTCTGAACATTTTCTTACACATATTTTTTAAATAAATATTTTACCGTATTGCATACACATTAAAACAAAACAAAACAAAAGTTAGTTAAATACTTCCAACACTGAGTGGCACAAAACAAATATTACCATTTGAAAAGTTATACACAGCAGGATATCAAGCATTGAGACCAAAGCAAGTTCAAAATCCAGAAGAGCAAACTTTAATTTCCATAGTTCCAACTGGAATGTCTGAAGTAGTCTGCACTGAGTTGTGAGCTCCAAAAGACTTACATAGCTCTGCCCCTATGGCAGTCTTCATAATAGCTCCCATGGATTCTCCCTTAACCTGGCTTGGTTCCCTCTTTGCAGTTTCCTTTAGATGATCCATGTTTCTGGCTTTTCCAAAATTCTTGGGTTTACTCTGAATAGGCTTTTCACTCTGTGCTTCACACACTACCCTCCCAGGGGCACACTGCCTGGCCTTCCAAGCCTCTTCTGAAATTGAGGTGGAAGCCTTCTCAACCTCAGAACTCTTGCATTTCGAATGCACCAAAAACAAGTGCCACATGGATGATGCCAAAGTATGCTGCCAGCTGGATCAGTAGCCAGTCTTTCTTCTCACTTAGCTGTAGTGTTTGAGTGCCTGGATTGAGGAGCACTCTGACTCTGATTCCAGGAACAGATTCTCCATGCTAGCGCCATTCTGGAACCTGGTGTGGTGGCTGCTGTGATTCTGGAACATGGGACAGAGCAGGTTTTTCCTCAAGGCAAAGTCTCTGATGTCATTTTCCAGTTCTGAGACTGCAAAGGGTATAGACCTGCTGCCTCCTGTGATGACCTCAGG